TGTTCTGTGAAGTTTATATACCTGTATATCTATATTACGCTTCCTTTTACATAAACACTGGAGTTGAGCCATCGCAATTGCAGTTCATGGGAGACCTCATCCTACCTTCAAATGAAAGTCGGTTCCCAGCATAGAGGTTTTGGATTAGAGTGAGCAAATCATCATAAGTCCTCACATGAGTTTGGGTTGTATATCTTCCTCCCCCAGTTGCTCCGTCTGTGTTTTTGGTCACAGCGGTAGTACGTAGGATTGTTCCGGTGCTATCTTTGACTATTCCTTGTTTCCTTCTTATTGGAATGTTATTGCCTTTGGATTGTGCTGGCCTGTGCCATGGTTAGGGGGGGAGTTGATTCCATGTGATAGACATCCTTTCAATACCAGAAGTCAATTCCCGGATTGATAGTTCGGTGGTGATCCTATTGGCATACCCAGAAATTGGTGCAGGTCTTAATCACTAATTCTTGGGTTTGAGGCAAAGACTGTATGATTCTCATCTTACCCTCGTGTGGATGCTGGTACCCCGTGAGGAGGTTTTGGATGTAGTTGACTTATGGAGTATAATCCTCCGCATCCTAGCCACTCTATACCTCACAATTTCTGCCCTTGTGCATTACACAATCTACACATGAGTGAAGATTATACCTGGCTCTGAAGTGGTGCAGTTCTTCTCTTCGGATCTTTATTTCTCATTGTCAGGAGAATCCTTCGGATACTTTTGGGGGTACTTCTTTTGTTTTCTTGCACCGGTCCCTCCTCCTTCTCAATGTGGGACTCTAGCTAATCTTGTGAGAGGAGGTAAGTACTGTATCAGAAGTTATAATTTTCCTATACTAAAAATGTATTTCCGATAGGTACTTCCCTCCTCTCACACTTTCCACCCTTCTTCCCCACTTCTCTGGTGCTCATGCCTTCTGCCAAACTTCGAAGTGAAGGTTCGATAGAGGAGTGTAGAGGGAGTCACATGTGTTATATGAGCATGTTATGCTACTACTGGTTATGAGATGATGCATGGTGATCTGCATGAGAAACGTGTTGGAATATATTAATTCCAACAAGGGGTAAGTGCAAAGCTTGTGGTGTGCGTAAAGAAAAAGTTTGCATATAGAGGGCAGCACTGGACGAGGATAGCTAATCTTGTGAGAAGAGGTAAGTACTTATTGGAAATACATTTTCAGTATAGGAAAATTATAACTTCATAAGCTCTAATGCACTTATAAGTAAAACCTAGAAGATGCTATATTCATGACTGAAGAATGCAAACATGTATAGTCCATTAGGTTAGTAGTTTCTAAATATTTGGGTTTGATGTATACATAGATTGTTTCTATCTTGACATCCATATTTCAAATATTGCTTGCAGTAGTTTATTGCATTTTCATATTTCATAGACACAAAAGGTATTTGATTCTGTTATTCCAGTGGTAGTTTTTTTTCCCACTTTGAATTTTGTTTTTTTTTATCAAATTAAGTAACTGTTGTTTTATTACATTATTCTGTAGTAGTTATAATGCCTAATTTTATTGTTTTGGGTATTTTTGTCCAGGAATAGCCTAGTAGTTAACATGCTGAACTGTGGATCAAAAGGTCTTAGGTTTGTGCTGTGGTATGCTACTGAAGATGCTGTGGGTGCATTATATTAGTTAGAATCATCCCATTGTAGGCAGCAGATGCTGTTCACTGGTTACCCTCCATCTAGACAGTTGTTCAAAATTAGGAATGATTCTACCTGAACCTGGTCGTGTTAGCCTATGTGTTGCATAAAACGTTCTGGCTCAAAATACCAAATCTTCATTTCTAGTTGCTGACAAATTAACAACAATAATGTATTAGAAAAAGGACTTTTGGTTTATAACATTAAGTATTTTCACTTGAAGTAAACATTTACAAATTCACTGTTTGAATGAAATTAAATATCATGCATTTTTAAATAGAATGTTGATGAAATGCTGAAGCAATGTATTTCATCTCACCTATCCCAAAAAATGTAGGCAATAATAGTTTGCCTAAAGTTTACTACTCAGTTGTAAAGAATGTGAAATTGATTGCTGTATGGTTTGATTAAATATATTACATCCATACACGCTTGGTTAAATTTGGATTTATTGCAAGTTTCAGCCATGTTAATAGAGCCTTTATCAGGAAACTGACCACGAACATTCACCACATTAAATATTTTTCTTTTTTGCAGACTTTTGTCTCTCTTACCAAAGCACTGTTCTCTTCACTTAATGGTCATAACTATCAATAAAATAAAAAATCATGAGTCTTAAACAACAAGATCAAGTTTGATGGTTTATATTGATCTGATGATTTACATAATATCAAAAATAATTATTTATTATTCTTCATCTTCTCAACTTTTTTTTTTTTTGGCAATAGATAGAGTACTAACTTATATTATGTTCAGAATAATAGAAAACTAAATTTTGTGTCAGCAACTTGAGGTTTACAACTTTTCATACAATAGTTCTTGACATATACTAAATGATAGTCATGTTACTCTGATATCAGAGAGTACATAATAATCTGTTTGTGAACCCACTTACACAATTAACATCTGTTATAAAGCAATTATGAGAACAAAGTATCACTTGACAGAAGTGGTTTACTCTTGTGAATGGGAATTATCACCTGAAAATAAAGAAAGGAATATACTTCTACCAACTGTGCCAGAATCTCAGTTCTTGTGGTGTTTCAAGAGTTATACTATTGAATGTGGATGTGACAGTAATTAGTAAGTTGATGTGAGAAAATGCTCATATATCAGTGTGTTCTCAGTCTGACTGTAAGGGGCCTGCATTTTCTGTTCTATGTCCAATGAGATGGTGCATTAACATGTCCAAATTTAGAGTTTATAAAAGTGTGTAAAAAAAATGTAAATCCATGCAATTTTTGTGACCAGATTTGCATACTAAGGTACGTTAGTTACCAAAACACCACAAGCTTGGCTCAGATTTACAGTAATGCATGGGTGGAAAAGGAAACAAAGGTTGAGTGATGGACAGTGCAAAAATAGTCTTTTGGGAGACCCAGCCTTTCATTATTGTATGCAACACCTCTGCTATTTTCCAAAATTTGCAAAAAATTTTAATTAGCTTATGAAAATGAATTTATGACTTGAAACTGAAAGAATGTGTTTCTTGAATATAAACACCCTAACTTAGGACATCCATCATGACTATGGTATTTGAAGTTCCGTAATCCTCAGTTTCAGAAATGGGATATAAACATACATGTAACTTTCAGAGTTGCTTGTTAGCAAAATGTATCAGAAAAAAATTGTATGAGTATCAGTTTCTGTATCTTGTCTTCCAAGCTATCAGTATCTTTTTATTTGTATGTATTTCAGATAGAAAAAATAAAGACTTCTATTTGTGAAAAAAAATGTTATATGTGACTGCCAGTTGAGGATAATTGAGAAAAATTGGCCAAGTTGATGGGCAATTTCCTTCTGCCAACCATTGAATTTCTGACTTGTAATGAGATACTGCAATCTTATTTATAAAGGCAAAAGTAGCATTGTATTATATCAGGAAGTTAAAAATACTGGGTTTTTGTGTAACTAAACATAGAAGCACTGGCATTTTTGCCTTTTATAACACTCAAAGTATAGAACTGATCAAATAATGGGTAAAGTCACTTATTTTCTAAAATACATATGTACATATGGGGACCCAACAATAATCAGTGGTACTAATTACATTATCAGTGATATTATTGTTGAAATTTTTTGTGTGACTTGTATGTTAGTAGAGATCCTTTACTAACAAAGTCATCTTTCTACAAGCAATTTGATGCATAAATAATAAAAAAAAGTTTAAAAACTCGTTATTTCTAGGATTAAAGAAGATATGGAGTGCTGTGGTATAGTGAAGCCAAGCAACATTCTTTTAGAGTTGGGGTAGAGAGCTATAATTTCTGTGTTATAGTGTGTAAAAGATAGATATTTCAAGAAACATTATAATAAAACATATGTATATGATAATTATAAATCAGACCAGTTTTTTAGTGATACGACATAGTACTGCAGTATTTTTAATTGTATCATTCACAGTTTAGAGGCTCAAAATAAATTTTTATATTTTGGAGCCATTTGTATTATATAGGTAAATGTTTTTGGACCCAAGAAACCTAAAGAACCCCAAGAATTTGAAAAATGGATTAGTTTTTTAAATATAATTAATGATAGCTGAAGTATTGATTATCAAGAAAATGTTCTGCTTTGTTTGAAGTATCCAAGCATCCTATGAATACGCAGTATGTCAACCAAGCTTGCTCTGCAATGCCACACAGTGAGTAAACATACTTACCAGTGTCAAAGTGGTGCAAGTTGCCAAAGTGCTATGAATGAAGTGAATTTGAGAGAGTAAAATTTATGAGATGCTAAATATGTAGAATATCAATATGTGAAATAATTGCAATGCCTATGATCTTTTATGAATACCATTAAGTGGTACCAGGAATAATACTACATCATAAATGTGTAGCTTGCTTGCAGGTGCTTTCAGAATGTAATAAATCTTCATTTGTTGGATATGTGAAATCATCATTGCATTAAATTTACAATGGCTTTAATTACATCCAGTGTGGCCCAACATGAATGTGCACCTTGCCTGTTGTTTCTGCAGCATACTCTTCACGAGTGTGGGTATTCTGCAAAGGTTTGAATAAGCAGATTGTTCATCAACTTTACAAATATTTTATACAGTTTTACTTGACATAAAGCTGTCAGCACTGTAATCTTGACAACTGATCATTAATCATGTGAAATGATAAGTTGCTTTACCCAGTTTTAAAGTGATACCAGAAGAGGGATCTGAAAGCAGAAAGGTTAATAATTTAACCATAATTGTTTCTGTTTGTTTTGTAAAGGATTGTCGTGGGGGTCTTAAGATGTGGAGTGCATTCTGCACATTGGGTACAAATTTTATGTGTCTATTAACCCTTTCGAGATGGGTCACGGGTGAAAAGCTATGTCATCTCATTTGTTGACTCGCATTCAAAATTTTATTGAACTGCTATTTCATGAATTTATGTCAATAAGTTTGGCATCAAACTGTAGATTATAATTCTATGTATTACTCAATTTCTTAATTTAAAAGAAAATATTAAAAAACACAGATAAACATGATTTTTTGTGTCACGTGGTATGTTGAATGCAGCACTGGTTCAAATTAGATGTTTGTAATATCAAAATACTAACTTTATAGTTTTGTATGAATTAAAAACTCAAATTACAGATATGAATTAGAAACATAAGTTACCGATATTGACAAGCTAGAATATAAAATAAGAACATCT